GCATTCTGTTTTTCTCAAAATTTTTATATTGAAAGACAGAAAAAGTCATCAAATAGCACATTTCCTCAAAGTAAATTTACTTCTTTGCATCACGCCATGTGACATTTCTTTCCTGCTGATTTTTGTTTTTGCTAACCCAAATCAAAAGTATCCTTCATGGTTAAGGTCTTTTGGAGTCTTCTTGCTGCTACTTGCAGGCATCTGCTGCATGCCAAAGCCATTTTTTTGTACTATTATTTGAGCATGCAGCCATATGACTTAACTCCCCTGTGCTAGGGTGTAATCTCCATGAGAGAGATTGAGCTTTATGTTTATTTCCTGAATGTTGTATTAGGGCTTAACAACTGAATTATGAATAAATTGTCTTTCAGTGTAAACTCTCTTGGATATTAACCTTTTCTCAAAATTTCATCTTTATTCTCCTTCAGAGTAAATGAACTTGTACTCTATTTTTCTTTTCACTACAAGTAACCAGTTGGAAGGTCCTTGGGAATTCCACTCAAAATGTAGGTCAAGCAATAAATACTACATTAAATAAAAAACAAATAGTGTCTAGTTTTTGTCTTGAACTACCCCAAATTTTACAGAGACATTGCAATTTTTTAATTAGCCAGTATATATATTTCTATAGTAAAAAACCATGTGCTGGTGACTGATTAACTTATCTGAGTCAATATGCACAATTGCAGAAGTTATCAGGAGGGGAGAACATGAGGCTGAACATGACACCTCATATATCTTTTTTTAGTGAAATGCTGCTGTCAATTAGGTGAAAATGAGAACTCAAGCCCATAACCATAAAAGCCCACCTATTGAGTCTGATGCCTGCTGAGATTGGCATTCACTTGTGGTCTAAATGTTGCTGGCATAATGGACCATTCCTATTTCTAGATGAAGGGTTTTAATAGACTGCACCAACCAGTTGACTTAAGCAGGTGATGATGAGTGTGGCTGCTTTGCTGCTTTGGTTGGATCAAGAGAGCCCTGGGCTATGGCTTGCCAATGATCTCAAAGCAGCATTCAACCCTGGGCAGCCTCTGTGAGCTGTGATTTCCTAGCCTGAGTTTCTGAGACATGCAGAATTTGGAACAGTCATATTATTGGTGATCTCTGATTTTTGTGATTTCTGTTGAATTTATAAACACTTATTAAGCCACTTGCTGTGTACACAACACTTTACCAAGTGCTAGGGAAGGGAGATTGGTGTAAGTCCATGGTTCTCAATGTTTTTGAACATAAGGACCATCCTTTTAATGTTATATTTTCTCAATTAGTAGCTAATTTGTGTATAAAATGGCAAAAAAGCTTCTATGTATTTATTAAAACTTAAAAAAATTTGTATTTTAAAAATCTATGCATAATATTTAATATGTATGAAGGATATAAATAATATTGCTGGTCTCTGGGAAATGATGTACTACATGGAAACTGATTCTTGTTCTTGTTATCCCTTTCAGCAAATTCATGGTGATTCAGGGTACAAACATTGGCTCCAGTGTCTCCAAGTTGGAAAATGCCCATGAAACCCCATAGATGGAACATAGTCATAGTAATATAAGTGGTGATTTTTAGATTTTTAACTTTTAGAATCAAATTTGGAACTATGTAATTGTTTGATTCTGAACACTGTCCCGTGTCTTAGTCTTAGGATTATTTGAAGAAAAACGTTCTTAAAGTGAAATAAGTATTTTTCTTTTTGATTTTTTCTACTCAGATTTATGCCATATTTTGGCTTGCTTCATGCCCTGATCATAACATTTTTGAACCACTGTATATTTTTCTTGAAGCTTTCAATTATCTTTTATTTTTGGTGGTTTAGATTACAAATATGTCTTCCTTAGAATATTTCTAATATCTCCTTCCTTCTTGCCTACTCTATTGCCTTGGATCTAGCCCATTCTACTTAAAGATATTATTTTTGAAGTCTATGCTTTGTCTTGTAATATAAACCGATTTCTTTCCAGATTTGATACATATCTGTCATTTTGGGATTTCTTTTCCTTGGATTCCTGGTTAATTACGTCATCTTTCATCGTGTATCTTCTTTTGATTGTAACCCTCATTGGGCTGGAATATAGCTTCAAGAATCTTCTGAAGAATGAATCTATAGGAGGTAAATATTCTTTGACAATTTGACTGGGTATTAAATTTGATTTCAAAAAATTTGATCTCTGAATATTGGTGGCACGGTATCATTTTTTTCCAGTGTTTCTGATGAGATCTGATATAAGCCTGATTCTAGTCTTATGAACATAGAGTTGCCAAATAAAATACATGATGCCAGCTAAGTTTAATTTTAACATAATTATCAAATAATTTTTAGTATAAGTTTTTACCTTGGAATGTGTACTATTTCAGGTATACTTATACTAATAAATTATTCATTGTTTGTCTGACGTTCAAATCTGTGTGTCCTATTTTTTTTCCTAAATCTGGCAACCCTATTTGAAGGTCAACCACTCTTTCTCCTCTAAATGACTTTTAGATCTTCTTATTATTCTGTTTTGAAATTTCTTAAAGATGTGCTTAAATGTGGCTTTAAAAAAAATCTATGCAACTCAGCACTTTGTTGGCTCTTACAATCGCTTTCAGCTTCAGGGAATTTTCTTCTATTACTTTCTTTAATGATTTTCTTCCCTTCATTTTATTAGTTTTCTAAAATTCTAATTAGCTTGACATTGGGCCTTCTGAACTGCATATGTAAATCTGGTCTTCTTAATTCTGTTTTGCAAATCTGTCTTTTTGTTTTATGTTCTGAAAATTTCTTCAACTTTATATTTTAAAATTTTTGATTATCAGAACTTCAATTTCTAAGAATTCTTTATTGTTCTTTCAATTATCATCTTCTCAGAATCTTATCTTTAGTTTATGGATGTGCCTGTTCTCAATTCTTCAAAGATAATGTGAGTTTTTTGTTTTATTTTGCCTTAAATTCTCATCTATTTCTGGAACTATTTTTGTTTTCTTTGAGTTCAATTATATTTATCTGAATCTTTGTTTTTCAGGATGCTACTTTATTCTCACCTGTTTGCAGATCATTGTTTAGCCACATTTAAGAATAAAAAACAAGGTAAATGATTCTAGGCAATGGATAAGGTTTTCTTTGTTTTGTATTTGTCCCTTAAATAGAGAGGAAGACAAGAAGCCCTACATGTGCAAGTAGATTTTACCAGAGTCTGATGAGTGGGAGTAAGTGACAGCACGTGGAGTCTTCTATATGTGAAAATGAGTAGTGTTCTAAAATTTTAATGCTAACTGCTCCAGCTCTTCCTAGGCAATTTATCTATTTATTCTTTTTTAAGACAACAGACACCTTTTCCTTTTCTAGGATTACAGCTGTGCTGTCTGTTGCTTTTAGGAGGGTGCACTTGTTTTTTCACGTGGTTGTTCTCTAGACAGAGTTTTGGTTAATGCTTTTTTTTTTTTTTTTTTTTTTTTTTTGGCTTTCATTCTCATTCTTACACTTGCCTTCCTGTTGATTCTAAGTCTGGAATGTAATTTCCTCTTGCGACTATTTTGGTCGGCAAATTCTTTAGCTTTGTTCCATTTGCTTTTTGTTTTCCAGAAATGTATTGGAATCATGAATCCATCAGTTATTACTCATTTTCCTCACTATTATGGCTTTAGTGTTTTAAGAGAATTCTCAGGGAATACTGGGAGGGAGAGAAGACAAATGCATGTACTCAGCCTACAATCTTGACCTGGAAGTTTCATTCTTTAATCTACTGCTTATCATTTCATTATGAATGTCTTCTGATGAAAATATTTTATATCTGCATGGGTGAATTTTGGTTTGCAAATATACACTTACATGTACTCTCATTTATTCTTCAGAATTTGGAACACATATTTTTCTCATACATTTTTGAAAATAATGAAATGACAAACTATATGTGAATGTGCCTGGCATACTACCTAGTACAGAATGGCTGAATAATAATATTATGTCTCATTACTAATTTATTTTCACAATGTACATTTCTGTACTACTGGTATGAATACATATTTGGATATGTGTTGCTTGAAAAAGATATAAAAATAGTTACCTGTACCTTATGATTAGAAGTAATTTTTTCATTAAACTTTATTATAAGTTTAATGAGAAATTTCTCAGAAAACATTTGGAGCTCAGAGATAAAACGCATCAGAAAATTGATGACATTCTTTATCTTATTGTAGCTAACACTGTTAAAATTTTTAATACAGTGATATAGCTATGGGTTTATTAAACTGTAGTTATTAAATCATGAAAATGCTACATGATTGTCATTTATAGATGTAACCTCTGAAGATCAGAGGAGATAGGAAGTTTTCCCAGCATTACATAGCATGTAAGCCACAGAGCCAAAATTCAAACCTAAATCTTTTGACTTCAAACCAGGGGTCGTTTATCCACAGCACAGATTCATAGGCTTTTTAAAAGGAAATGCAATGCATAAGGCTAAGCTTTTTAATCTTATAAATATTAATAACTATTAATAATGTTTCATTTGCAGTGAAATTGTATGCTTTAACAAGCCAAGTCATCAATGGTGAGATGCAGTTCTATGCCAGAGCTAAACTTTTCTACCAGGAAGTACCAGCCACAGAAGAGGGTATGATGGGAAATTTCATTGAATTGTCCAGCCCAGACATCCAGGCCTCTCGGAAATTTCTTAGGAAATTTGTTGGGGTGAGTTATTTAACTACAGCTTGATGAGAAGGCAAAGTCCTTGCAAACGTTGAGCTCACATTCCTCTGTGTTGTTACTTAAGTCATGACTAAGCCATATGGCTCAGCCAAGAGTTCAGGCTGAAATCCAGTTTTAAGATGTTCAGAAAGGATGAACTATTTATGATATGATAAATATCATATCACTGGTTTATCCCACTTGGCATTTCACCCTCCTATTGCCAACCAATCTTACATGCTTCAGAGGAAGGTGAACTAGCAGTGTTGATATAAAATTTGGGAATAAAGAAGACATCTCTTTTAGAGTCTCATAAACATTTGATACTCACATGATTGATGAGAGATCATGCCCTTTGGAATCTTGGATTGACTTATTGATTCCCTGTAATAAAAATGAGATGTGGGAAGGAAATACATGAGTATGTTCGATTTAAAAACAATGAAAGTAGAATCCTTTTATACTATTTTGTATATAGTTTTGATTTTACCTTGAAAGAATGTTATCCTTTTGTAGTCTTGCATTGAGTCAACCCCTACTTCCTTACTTTCACATCATATGAAGACAAACAGTATATTGTAGGGGTCAAAATTTTGGGCTTTAAGGCCATTTCGGTTCTTCTCCTTAATGTATAAGCAACTTGGAGCTTGTTACTTAAATGCACCAAGTGTCAGTTTTCTCACTTATGACTAGGGCACAACAATAGAAGCTACTTCACAGGATAATGTGGAGATCAAACAAGATAATATGTGTCAGGTACCTGTTTTAGTGCATAAAATTAGTACTCAATAAATCTAATTTATTGCTATTACTACTAATAACAGGCTTTCATATAATGCATTCATTGTATTTTAAGGAACTTCATTTAGTTGTTAGAAAAGACTTAACTCCCAAGATAAAGCTGCTGTTAGTTATATTAAGGATGTAAAGTTCTAGTTGGTAACAGGTCTTGTTCCAATACATTACAAAGTCACTGGTTTGAAATTTGGAGCCCATTTTCTTCTGATAAAAGAAACATAAACATTAGGCTACAGGGTTAGGTCATCACCTGAATTAGTAGCAAAACATCAGTATCTCTCGTGTTGACGTGAAGTTCACTTCAAATCCAATCTTCCTGGAGCACCCAGTGTGTGAGTCCAGAGCCTGACAGTAGAAAAAATGTGATCAGGATGAGTTACCTATGAGGGCCAAAGTATCTGGACATCAGCTTTAGCCATAAAAAACTAGGAAGTCTAGGGATGAAGACCATGGATATTTACAGGTTAGGTTAACTTAGAGTATTTCTAAATCAATGCTGCTGACTGGTTTCACTGAATGCTGTTCTGAGAGAGTCAATCTGCTAAGCATTTTAGAATCATTATCTCATTCATGTCAATTCTTGGAGGTAAGTGCTATTATTAGCTGTTTTTACAGTTGTGGAAACTGAGGCTTGAAGAGGTTAAATAAGTTGTCAAGATTACACAGCTGGTAAGAGACAGAACAGGGAATTAAGCCCAGCCAGGTCTGACACCAAACTTCCTGCTCTTAATCACAACATATTTTTTCCATTTGAAGCTGAGAAATCCCTGTTTTATTTATTTGTTTATTTACTTATTTATTTGGTGGACCATAGACCTCAACTCTCCTCCAGTCTGGCTGAAAGCAATCCCTCCTGCTCATGGTGAGGCCCACTTTGATCCCAAAGTATTTCAGAAGCTTAGTTAGTAATCCAGCTGTCTTGTCACTCTGTGTGGAATGCCAAGCTGACCACAGGGATGCTGGTCAGACAGAGCCCATAAGCACGCCCACAGATCTGGGAAAGGAAACAGCCTTGCGCTAGCATATTTATGCTGGAAAATAGGCAGCCTGCTCCTTTGAAACAAATATAAGGAGTCCTTCTTAGTAGACAAGGCTCATTGTAAAGCTGTGACTTCGAAGTACAAACACAGTCCTTTTTAAGGAATGATATTTTGGTACTTTGACCTTCATGCTGTAATCTGCTAGATTAGCATACAAAGAGTTAGGGACTATGAGTATCTGACATGCCTTATTCTTGTGTCAACTGCGAAACGAAAGATTGTTTAATTTGAAATTTTGCTTTCCTTTCAACATAGTGACACAAGACAGTGGGAAAAGGTGTTTAAACTAGTTGCAAATGCATTTACTTTAGCAAATAAACAAATGATACCAAGATGATGTCAATGCTGTAGTCGATAACTTTCCTGTTTTAGCTTTCTAGTGGATGAAAGCAGTAATTCATAAAAAGTCATCAGTATTGTTGGTCGGTTGCGGTGGCTCAAGCTTGTAATCCCAGCACTTTGGGAGGCCAAGGCGGGTGGATCACGAGGTCAAGAGATCGAGACCATTCCGGTCAACATAGTGAAACCCCGTCTCTACTAAAAATACAAAAAATTAGCTGGGCATGGTGGCATGTGACTGTAATCCCAGCTACTCAGGAGGCTGAGGCAGGAGAATTGCCTGAACCCAGGAGGCGGAGGTTGTGGTGAGCTGAGATCGTGCCATTGCACTCCAGCCTGGGTAACAAGAGCGAAACTCTGTCTCAAAAAAAAAAAAAAAAAAAAAAAAAGTCATCAGTATTTATTTGATGGTATTTATTTGACATTTCTCAGAGATTGGATAGCTAAAAATTCTGGGTCTACTAACTTGTTATATTTTATAGTTTTTATACAGTGACACAAGACCCTTTCATTTTAGTTTTTAACTCCACTGGATAAACCTAAAATAATGTTATTCAAAACAAAATACATAGGCAGAATCCAAACTAAACTGAAATTCCTAATAGTGTTTTACCAGTTTATACGAACTCATAAACATGGCATAATAAATGAAAATAACAAAATGAGTTGGGCACAGTGGCTCACACCTGTAATCCCATCACTTTGGAAGGCTGAGGTGGGTGGATCACCTGGGATCAGGAGTTCAAGACCAGCCTGGCCGACATGGTGAAACACCGTTTCTATTAAAAATACAAAAATTAGCAGGGCATGATGGTGCGTACCTGTAATCTGAGCTACTCTGGATACTTAGGAAGGAGGATTGCTTGAACCTGGGAGGGGGAGGTTGCAGTGTGCTGAGATTGCACCGCTATGCTCCAAGCTGGGAGACAGAGGGAGACTCCATCTCAAAAGAAAAGGAAAAAGAAAACAGAGACCATCTTGTTTTGAAATCACACATTGTATGTAGTTCTAGTCATATTCATTTAAGGGCATCAGATTTCAATACAGTCACAGTTTCAGGCAGCCATGGTGTCCAATAAAATTCATGGTGCTTTATTATTACAGGATTCTACTTCTAAAACCACTTTCTACATTAACGAGAGCAACATGACCAATAGAGGCTTTTAGGGCCAAGTAATAGTAAGAAAAATTTGAAATGAGAATCTCTTATTAAGCACGCACATTTTTAGTAAAATCATTGCTAATAACTTAAAATTTCTCCATATTATACTGCTGATTTTTTTATGTTATGAATTTACTTAGAAGATGCTTATTTTACAGCATTAATGCCTAGGCCTTCTTCTGAATTAATTCAGTGTAAATTATATTTGAATGTGATATGTGGCATAGTGTAAGTAGAAATGGCAAATGCATGGTATATACTACCACTTCTTCTCATGCTAGAGACAGGCATCACTAATCAATCATAGATCTCTTTTCTGCTGCGTCTAAATGAAGTCTTATAATTCTTTTTAACACAGCATTAAACAGATACTACCAAGTGAATCAGAGTTATTACTTGAGGTGACATCCCTAATGTTGAACTGGCTTTGGATTCAGACAGTTCCTATTCAAATTCTAATTCTTCCATTGACTATGTAATATTACAAATCTGAGTTTTCTCATTTCCAAAATGAGGATAATAATCTATATTGTCGAGTTTTCTTATCATGATTATTATTGCTAAGAGCTTGTTATGTATAAATAATAATTGTGGCTATTATTATTCCATTTGAAAACAAGGTACAATTCCTTTACTTTTTGTTCTTCATTGTACTTTTCTAGCATAACAAAGGCCATTTGGGTGACTCGAAAGCTGCTTTTCTGATGTTTCCCTCTGTTTGTACTTCACCTTTGATCCTGAGCCAATTTTATTTTTTTTTTATTCGTAGTTCCTGAGAAATCAAGAGTAGGCTTTTCCCTTGAGATCTTGATTGGCAACTTCAAGTATCTTGTTACTGTAATTTCTAGCACAAAACCTTTTCAGCAGCCATCCCAATTATGATCAAATAATTTAGACCAGCTGAATCTTCATAAATCAGAAAAGTTTTTTAAATTTTACAGAAGCAAGTTTGAGAAAGTTTGCTTTGGCTGATTTCTTCTTACCCCCACCACCTTCCAATCCCCTCACTCCCAGTTCATTAATGCACAGACCTACTTAAAAAACCATTTTTAGATTTTTATGCCCAATAAATCATGTAGTTTCTAGTGTCAAAAAAACCCCAGAGAACAATGGTTAGCATTAAAGAACACAAGGAAACGTTGCTGAAACTACCCTTTATCCATGTGAACTTGCTGTGTGCCATCAGGGCTGTATTTCACATAAAATCCTGGCTTGAGAATGGAACAGTTAGCATTGGTCAGCTCAGGTTCCCAAACTTACCATCAACCCAAGAGGAGTAGGTAATTCAGAGCCTTCAAAATTAGCTTAGAAAAGATAAAATTCAATTATCCCAAACTGAAATGTTTCCATTGAATGAATCCTTAAAGTAATTTTAAAACTCAGAAAGTTTCTTACTGCTTGGTTCTTTTTTGCTTACATGGCAGTAATCTATAGTGCAGAACCATTTAGCTGTGGATTTGTCTCAAATTTACAGTCATTAAGGTTTTATCTTCATAGGGCTATCAATGGCTCATTTTTTGGAGAAAATTGCCAAGAAAATTACCAATAAACCTAAGATACCATTTTATAAAAATCTAATTTATAATTCTTTATTTGGATAAATAAAGCAAGCAGAACTAGAAATGTTTCAATATTTTTTGAAAAGATAATTGAATGTATATCTTGATTGTGGTAGTGGGTACATGGCTATATAAATTTGTCCAAAATCATCAAATTGTACACAAAAAATGGTACATTTTATTGCATAAAATTTACCTAATAAAGTTGATTTAAAGAGGTAACTAGGGTGTGCAAGTTTCAAAGATGGGTCTCTGCACTTGAAGTATCAAGGTGCCTTTCTGCAGGGGCCTGGGAGAGCTGGAACAGACTGTGCCTTGGACTGCGGCTCTGGGATAGGAAGGGTCAGCAAACACGTCTTACTGCCTGTTTTCAACAGTGTGGAGCTGGTGGATATGATGGAATCCTTCCTCCTTAAAGCCCAGAACTACCTGCAGATCAAAGGTGACAAAGTAGAAAGTTACCACTGCTACAGCCTGCAGGAATTCACACCCCCCTTCAGGAGATATGATGTCATCTGGATTCAGTGGGTCTCTGGTTAGTCCTGCATGATTTTGCCTCTGCTTTTCTCCCCTTCTCAGCCAGAGAATGAGAGCAGAAGGGAAGAGTTAGCTGTAGTACTACAAGCACTTAGCTAGCCTTAGGTGTCATGTGACCTCCCACAAAGCTTTGATCCTCCAGATTTCTCCCCTGACATTCTCTGTACAAGAAAATTACATTTCTTCCAGGATTTACATTGGTTCTCGAACCAACCTAAATGGAGCGAGTGCCTTTGGACCAACCTAAATCCTCGAAGAAATGTAAATACTTGAAAAAATTTTAAAAGTGCAGTCAAAAAGGTTAATCCCCATTTATTGGCAGAACTAGACATTCTTAGATTTAAATCCTCAGGAAATGAGACAGCATGAATTTGATTTTGTGGTATGAGTGTATGTCACACAAAGAAGTGGTTATAGAGAGGTTCTCCATGGGACATGGGGGGACTCATGGGGTAGACAATAATTTATCTCAAGCCTATGAAGTTGACAGGCTACATAGGATAATGAGTTTTATAGACAGGGGACAGGGCCTTCCCTAAGAGAATATGTGTCCTCTTATCTAAATTTTCAAAGCCTCCTGTAACTAAACAAGGCTATTAAATAACTCATGAATCAGTGAACAAATGGTCTCCTGATTCTTAGCCATGTTCTTCCCTACTCACCTTCCATCCTCTCTATTTCATCCTATTCCCCCATCCACTTGGTCCTCTTTGTAGGGCACCTGACTGATAAGGACCTTCTTGCATTTCTTTCCCGGTGCCGAGATGGCCTGAAAGAAAATGGAGTCATCATACTGAAGGACAATGTGGCCCGTGAGGGCTGTATCCTCGATCTCTCTGACAGCAGTGTGACTCGGGACATGGACATCCTCCGGAGCCTCATAAGGAAGAGTGGGCTGGTGGTGCTGGGCCAGGAGAAGCAGGAAGGCTTCCCAGAGCAGTGCATCCCCGTGTGGATGTTTGCACTGCATAGCAACAGAGACTCCTGAAAAGCAGTGGGAATGAATGATGGACTGGGCAGTGGTGCTTTAGGATGGGTTGCTCTCCTTCCAGGTGACCCTTGTAATACAGACAGGGATGGAGAGAGAAGGGATACAGTGTATGTCTCGAAATTATTTATGATCTAATATGTACAGGTTTTCAGTAATGGTATAATGCACATACTCTGATGAGATATGCATAAACTCGGTGGATTTTCTGAAAAGAAAAAGGAGTGAAATATCAGGGAACATGCTGTAAATCTGCTTGTATATATCTAAATTGTACAAGCATGCATGAAAACAGAAGGCATAAAGGACAGCTGGCCTGAATCAATATTTGTAAAAATTGTCTTTCACAACATCCTAGGCAAAAATGGTGGGTTTTTTTTCATCACAATATGAAATTAGCATTCTGTGTATCAAGGAAAACAATTTAGCTTTTGGGGTTGTTCAAATAAAACATTTGTATACTCAAAAAAGAAACAATCTCCACATGTTCCAAACTGTCTTGCTCCCTGATGATTAGTATTATAGAGTATTCCACGGGAGGTGGGGGGATAGGAGAAAATCTAGACTCCTTTCCCGCTTCCATGTCTGCTACATTATACTTCCTTCCTCTTTGGTACTACTACTTCTCTTGAATAAACATCTCTGTATAATTAGGAAGGCTCTAGTCAAAATAATCTTGTGAAAACAAGTCCATTATTTAATTTCGTCTTTAGCCTTTCTCTTGGCAGAAAAGGTATTTTGTTTCACTTTCTATTTTGGGTCAGTTTTACTACCCAATGATGTAATACGGATGTAACTTGATAACACAAGTCTGCATTACAGTGATGGGGAAGTGTCTCCTTTCAGGAGAAAATGTTGTGCCCTGAAATTTCAGCCTTTAACATATAAGTAAATGTCATTGATAATCTAATTTTAGCCTTTGGTTTCCAACATTGCTTGCTTCATCGCAGCCGCTTCTGGTCTTGATTGATGTGAATGTATATTGGAAAGAGAAGCAGCAAAGAAATGGACAAGGAAATAACGAACCTGAAAATTGAACTAGCTGGATTTATATGACACTGGTTTAATTAAAAATAATCTAAAATTATTTTTAAAATATAATTCAATTTTTATTAGCAGAATGCTAAATATAACTGCTGTTGTCTTTAAAACACTTCAACATTTCACATGGAAGCACATATTTGTGGTTGATATGTATTGAGTCTTCCACGAAATGCAATTTAAGAAGATAAACTCAGGGATATGCTATCATCATAAAAATAGTATTTTTCAGGTGACAGCTCTAATTTAAGAGGAAAACAATTATGATAAAACATTTAATACCTTGTTGTAGCTTTACCTTGGTAGTTTCATTTAGTGTGCTGGAAAATTTTGTCACCTACTCTGCTCTGGGTACATATCCAAATGGGATTGCTGGGTGAAATGGTAGTTCTGCTTTTAGTTTTTTGTGGAACTGCCACACTGCTTTCCACAATGGTTGAATTAATTTACACTTCCATTAACAGTGTGTAAGTGCTCCTTTTTCTCTTTAACCTCGCCAGCGTCTGTTATTTTTGACATTTTAATAATAGCCATTTTGACTGGTGTGAGATGGCATCTCATTGTGTTTTTGATTTGCATTTCTCTAATGATTAGTGATACTGAGCTGTTTTTCATGTGCTTCTGTGCTACATCTATGTTTTCTTTTGAGAAGTGTCTGTTCATATCCTTTCACCCAGTTTTTAATGGGGTTGTTTGTTTTTCCCTTGCAAATTTATTTAAGTTCCTTACAGATGCCAGATGTCAGACGTTTGTCAGATGCAGTTTGTAAATATTTTCTCCCATTCCTTAGGTTGTCTGTTTACTCTGTTGATAGTTTCTTTTGTTGTGCAGAAACTCTTAAGCTTAATTAGATTCCACTTGTCAATTTTTACTTTTGTTGTAATTGCTTTTGGTGTGTTCATCATGAAATCTTTGCTCATTTCTATGTCCAGAATGGTATTACCTCGGTTGTCTTCCAGGGTTTTTATAGTTTTGGGTTTTACATTTAAGTCTTTAATTCCTCTTGAGTTCATATTTGTGAGTGGTATAAAAAAGAGGTCCAGCTTCAATTTTCTGCATATGGCTAACCAGTTATCCCAGCACCATTTATTAAATAGGGAGTTTTTCCCCATTGTTCATTTTTGTTAGCATTGTTGAAGATCAGATGGTTGTAATGTGTGGCCTTATTTCTGGGTTCTCTATTCTGTTCCATTGATCTATGTGCCTGTTTTTATACTGATAGGCTGTTTTGGTTACTCTAGTCTTGTAGCATAGTTTGAAGTCAGGTAATATGATACCTCCAGCTTTGTTCTTTTTGCTTAGGATTGCCTTGGTGATTCAGGCACTTTTTTGGTTCCATATGAATTTTAAATAGTTTCTTCTAGTTCTGTGAAGAATGTCTTTGGTAGTTTGATAGGAACAGCATTGAATCTGTTAATTACTTTGGGCAGTAGAGCCATTTTAATGATACGGATTTTTTTTCTTTTCTTTTTTGTGAGCATGGAGTGTTTTTCTATTTGTTTTTCTGATTTCTTTGAGCAGTATTTTGTGATTCTCATTGTAGAGATCTTTTACTTTTCTGGTTAGCTGTATTCCTAGGTATTTTATTCTTTTTGTGACATTGTGAATGGGGTTGCCTTTCTGATTTGGCTGTTGTTGGTGTACAGGAATGCCAGTGATTTTTATACATTTGCATACAAATATAATGTATTTTATAGATTACACAAAATGTATTTATACATTTTGATTTTGTATCCTGAAATTTGCTGAAGTTATTTATCAGCTGAAGGAGCTTTTGGGGTGAGACTAGAGATAGTTTGACTATCCAACGGGAAATTATTTGGATGCCTTTTATTTGTTTCTCTTGCCTGTTTGCTCTGGCTAGGACTTCCAATACTATGTTGAATAGAAGGGTATCCTTATCTTGTGCCAGTTTTCAAGGGGAATGTTTTTAGCTTTTGCCAATTCAGGATAAGGTTGGTTGTAGGTTTGTCATAGATGGTTCCTATGATTTTGAGGTGTGTTCCTTAAATACCTAGTTTATTGAGAGTTTTTAACTCTTTTAATGAAGGAGCGATGAATTTTATTGAGAGCCTTTTCTGCCTTTATTGGGACAATCCTGTGGTTTTTGTCTTCAGTTCTGTTTATGTGATTAATCACATTCACTGATTTGTTTATGTGGAACCAACCTTGCATCTCAAAATGCTTGCAAACTGAATCCAGCAGTATTTTGTTGAGGATTTTTGCATCAGTGTTCATCAACGGTATTGGCCCAAAGTTTTTTTTGTTTTATTTTGTCTCTACCAGGTTTTGGTGTCAAGATGATGCTGGCACTCTTAAACACATAGACCAGTGTTACCATAAAGCCACACACAAGCCAACATAGTAACCAACAAACGGCACAATAACAGGATTAAATGCACGCATATCAATACAGACTTTGAACATAATGGGCTAAATTTCACACTTAAGAGGCACAGAGTGGCAAACTAGATAAAAAACCAAGACCCAATGCTATGCTGTCTTCAAGAGACCTATCTCAAACATAATTACATTCATAGGCTCAAAATTAAGGGATGGAGGAAAATCTACCAAGCAGATAGAAAACAGAAAAAAAAAAAGGATTGTAATACTAATATCAGACAAAACAGATTTCAAAACAATGATGAACAAAAAAGACAAAGAAGGCGGTTACATAATGGTAAAGGGTAAAATTCAGCAAAAAGACCTAACTATCCTGAATATATATGTACCCAACACAGGAATACCCAGATTCATAAAGCAAGTTTTTAGAGATGCACAAAAAAATATAGATTCTCACACAATAATAGTGGGAGATTTCAACACTATACTGACAGTGTAAGATCATGAAGGCTGAAAATTAACAAAGATATTCAGGACCTAAACTCAACACTGGGGCAAATGGATGTGATAAACCTTTACAGAACTCTCCACCCAAAAAACAACAAAATATACATTCTTCTCATTGCCATCTGGCACATACTCTAAAATCAACCACATAATTGGACATAAAACAATTCTCAACAAATGTAAAAGAACTGAAATCATACCAAACACACTCTCAACCACAGCACAATAAAAATAGAAGTCAAGACTATGAAAATTGCTCAAAACCATGCAATTACATGGAAATTAAACATGTTCCTGAATGACTTCTGGGAAAATAATTAAATTAAGACAGAAATCAAAAAGTTCTTTGAAAATAATGAGAACAAAGATACAATATGCCAGAATCTCTGGTACACAGCTAAGGCAGTATAAAGAGGAAAATTCATAGCACTAAACGCTTACATCAGAAAGTTAGGAAGATTTGAAGTTAACAATCTAACTTTACAATGGACTAGAGAAGCAAGAACAAATCAACCCCAATGGTAACAGAGATGAGAAATAAAAAAATAAATTAGAGCTGAACTGATGAAAATCAAAACATGAAAAACCAGTCAAAAGATCAATGAATCCAGGAAATTTTTTGGAAAAAATTAAAACAGATAGACCACTAGCTAGACTAATAAGAAAAGACAAATGATCCAAATAAACACAATTAGAAATGATGAAGAGAATGTTACTACTGACCCGCCAGATATAAAAACAACCATCAGAGACTACTATGACCACATCTACACACACAGACTGGAGAACTTAGAAGAGATGAATTAATTCTTGCATATATACATCTTCCCAGGACTGAGCAAGGAAGAAATTGATTCCCTGAACAGACCAATAATGAGCTCTAAAATTGAATCAGTAATAAATAGCTTACTAACCAGAAAAAGGCCAGGACCTGATGGATTCATAGCTTAATTCAACCAGATGTACAAAGAAGAGCTGGTACCATTCCTATAGAAACTATTGCAAAAAACTGAGGAGAAAGGACTCCTTCCCAATTCATTCTATGAGGCTAGCATCATCTTGATGCTAAACTTTCAATGATTCTCCAACACCAAGAGGATGAATTCCTATCTCCTTGGAACAACATATAAAGCCTTTTGTGATTTGGCCCTGGCTTTCCTCTCCACTCCTGCAGCTGTACTTAGTACTTGTAGGTCCCTACTTGATGCCTTTAGAAATCAAGATTGTCCTAGGTCTTTCTACTTTTAAACACATAGACCATGTGTTTAAAGAAGCCATGATTTGTTGCATTTTGACATGTTACTTGCTTGGCATAT